AGACGTTTACAGCTGTCAGAATTGCGGAAATCACGTCTAAGAGGCTTCAATTTTTCAAAATTTTCTGGGGGAGCATGCCCCCAGACCCCCCTAGGAGCATGGCGCTGCAGGCGCCATGCTATGTGGGCCTTTGGCCCACATAAAATTTGGACTCCCACTTTCAAAACCCTGGCTAAAAGCCTGTTCAGAAGGTGTTTCTACTGTCATTTTCTTTTGTGGCTGAACATTCACGTGAAAGCAGAAAAGCAGTGCCTTTGTGGAGTATTGTTTCGTTACTGTATTTTCGGTGCTCTTGTCCTAAATTTTGGGTCTATGAATTTAAACCTAAAGTGGTCGTGAACAACACAAATTAAGTCGTTGAGCAGACCTTTCCTGTGGTACTGTGTTGGTGATTTAACGTTGTATGCTTTCTTTCTTTTTGAACCTGATTCCGTGTTTGACTGTCACTTCTACATTTGCAGAGAGGAGCCGTTACATTCATTGGTGCAGTCGTATTTTGATTTCGCCTTGTTGAGCCTCACTGAAGTTATCAGCACCAAGGTCAGGCTTAGGTCACTTGGTACGATGGCCGTTAGTTTAACAGTTACCCTTTTCCGCCCATATTCAGTATTTTAACTGTTTTCATGATGGCGGCCGCGATCAATGTACCTCAGGGTCGCGCTTCCGTTAAAAAGAGGCTTCTGTGCCTTGTAAGCTCAGTTGGGAGAGCGCCGGTCTGCTGAGCGGGAGGACGCGGGTTCAAACCCCTGCCGGACCAACACTCAGAGTCTTTAAATAACTCAGGAGAAAGTGCTGCCTTTGCAGTGACATCTGCAAACGGTTAGACTTTCTTACTCTAGTCTTCTCGAATAAGGACGAAAAACCCGTGGGTCCCGTCTCACAGCGCTTTCTCTCATCTGGTTCTTATGGGACGTAAAAGAACCCACCCCACTGTGGTGGTGTCACCAACCTCTCCTGGGCCGGGTGGGTCATAAGTAAGAGTCCCCCTCTGTTGTGTGTCCCGCACCATATGGTGGGGGAAGTGATAAACTAACTTAACAAAGTTTCGCTATTAACTTAAAAGTTGCAGCGCCAGTTGGTACATTTTCATACATTGCCTTCTGCTGTTGTTCCCTTGCTATTTTTGTTCTGTGGTCGTGAACTTTTTGTGCGTTAAAACTCTCCCACAGGAACTAGAGATACAGTTGGTGCGAGAAGTACTTGAAGTGTTTATCAGAGTGTGCATTTTTGTGGATCAACCCACGTTCCTTGGGTTTGTGTTTAGAGCCATCAGTAGCAGACTAGATTACGTGAGTACTGTTTTGCCTGGTTCTCGGCCATATTCCGCCAGTCTACCTGCCAGTATCACCTAGAGTTACAGTACTAGGCACCTTACGATCGGACAGGGGCGACGTCAATAAAAACGTCAATAAAAAGTAGACTGAGCATTCTCGCAAACTTTCTTGCGATTCTTCTAATTCACCTTGTTACTTGAATGAAAGCAAATTAGGTTGGAGCTGAAGTGATGAGACCGCGTTCAAGTTCAAACAGAGCTAGTAATAGTTCCCGTTCTCAAGTAACCTTAAAGTTGGTCATTTACGGCGTTTTTTGTGCAGGGACGGCAAAGACATTTGCAAAAACGCGTGATGCACTTGGGGAATTATTGTTTTTCGTATTAAACCTGTTGTTTTTTTTACTTTCCCGTTACTGTCGCCGCCGTAGTTTCGTAAGGTCCCTACTATTGCGACATATGAGAACATACGCCGACGGCAACATAAATTACCAAGATTACATTTTTATTGATCTCACCAGCAGGGGGTTATGAAATCATTATCGCGGGCCTGTTTAACGTCATTTCCATTTCTCACAAGAGCGTTTGTTCGACGTAGCTAGATGACTGAGGTCGCTGTTTTTGTGAGGCGCGTCCTGTAATCTTAAAGGGTGGCTTCGTCAAAAGCGTCCTCCGCGGTTGTTACTCATGAAAGATAGTAACTTCTAAGCTCAGTACGTTGTGCATCATGCCGTGAGTGTGGTCCAAGGGTAGAGTCGAGTCTGGGGCACTTAACGTATCCCCCCCCCCCGAATCTCCATTAAAGCAACAGATAAAAAAGGAACACCTCACCTCCACATGTAGACCGCGAGCAGACTCTCTTTTTCAATAGTCTCTTGGTGTGGAAGAAGGGTCCAATCACCAAATGACGTCATACAAAAGACTGAAAAGGCACTGAACAAACCCACACCACAACTCAGTACCTAACCAACAATAGTTTCCGCAACACCAAGAAACACCCCTTTTCTTAAGGTGATATTACACGAGACGATTCTCAACGACGATGCTTAGCGCAACACACCGTTGCAACATTATTGCGACGTTGTTTCGAGTTGTTCCAACATTGTTCCAACATTGCAACGCTGTGTTGTGCTAAAAATCGTCGTTGCGTATCGTCCCATGTAACATCACCTTTAGACCGTCGAGCGAAACGCGCGAGAGGAGAAAATGGCCATCCCGCGACTTTGCCGTTTGCGTGCCACATCGTATGTGACTGAGTTTTCTCTTTGCCTTATGTATTAGCTGAGTTTTGTTTGTGATGTTGACAGGAACCTGACCTTGTTCGTTTAATGAGCGAGGAGGAGGGTAGTAACAGATTGAATGATACGCCCGACTTATTGATTTTGTCCAATGATATCCCCGCCAGTCCAGCTGAGGAGCTGGTTATAACAGGAGAAGATGAAGATGATCCAGGTCAGTATATACTGTATTCTCATTGGGGTCATCCACAAGCAGTGCCTGTAATACCAATAAGATATGGGAGACTCAGGCTGAGGCGGCAGGAGCAGGGGGCTCCTGGAAGAGAGTTAGTTCATTGGTGGGTGGGGCGCATAAAGAAATGTACGAAACACCGAAAAGCCCGAGCACGCGATTATGAACAGAAACTGACCTATATAAGAAACCTGTAATGTACAAACCTCTATTTTTTTTTGTACCTGGTATTCATGATTTTTACTGGTCGGGGTCAACCCAAGATCCAACACTCCTCACTGTTTGTACTTGTTCTTTTGCCTGTATTGGTGTTTTTGATACATTGTCCTGTTAAATGACTGTACTGGCCCCGGTTGTTCAAACGTTGGATAGCGCTATGCACCCGATTAATCATTTTCCAGCGCGTAAGTATTCGGGAAACTAATTGCACTATCCACTGGATAGAGATTTATCCGGTGGATAGCGTCTATCCAGCCTTTGAACAACCGTGGCCTGGTCTACGAAGTAAGAAGCGAACCCATTGGTTCCTCCAGAAGTCTTGTGTTCGCCATTTGAAACCTGCACTTATTGTATTTATTGGCTGTGAGAAAAACGCTTAAAAAGATGTTCTTAACAAGACTTCTTGTTTACGGGACTACTTCACACAATTAAGCACAATTTTGTTGCATAGAAAATGGTCATTATTGACTAAAAGGCCCGATAAACTTGCTTAAAATTATGTAACAATAGAAAGTGAATACAAGAATCCCACAAAGAAGGCGCGTGAATGGCAATTAGTCAACAAAGCTCATACGATGTGCATCAATGTAAATAGTGAGACCCCAGTGCGGTTTGTCAACTTGATCTCAGTTTTCATGAGAGTGTGACCTTAACTTATAACGCGCGGGAGCTATTCCATATTTCCTTTTCTGTTTTTTTCCTTTTTCTACTGGCATTGAAGTTCCTTGAATCCGGTCCGGCTGTGCTGTAACTAAGGTCGTTCAACAGCAGCCAAACCCTCTTGTTGGGGCAACCAATGGGCAATGCCCAGTGTCCACATTATTGAGGGGTTCGTTTTAAAGAGATAGAAATTGTAGGAAGTTTGGTATCATTGGCACCAAGAAAACCGTCGGTAACAAGGCGGTGTCCGTATTTTAGAAGTTCGCTAACGAGGGGTTTGAATGTTCTTCTTTAAATGACGACGGGTCAACGACTCGGTTACAGTGTCTCCTTAACTGGATATTAAACTGGCATAAACTGTTTTGTGTTGTTGTTTTTAGACACCGGCCGTTTAATGCAGGAATCAGTAGCCTTAGACACCTCTCACGAGAGCAGTCGAGGCACAACACGGCTACCCAGTCCAGAGCTAGGCGCCGACGGTGATGGGTTTTCCGACTGGGACAGCTGGGAGGGTGATAACGAGGTACGCAGCTTTAAATAGAAATTTTCATTCATTTGAAGCATGTGCAGTATTGATGACAGATTTAAGGTGGCTGAACACAGTTTTGGCAGTTTCTGAGTATAGGTCATTTGCCAAATTATGGCAAGTGAAAGGTTGCAGCTCACAAGCTGAAACCTGGCAAGTGAAAAATATACTGATGAAAGATTTTGACTGACAGGTAAAATTTGACGTTTTTGTAGTTTCCATGGCAACATGAACGACTGAATACAACCTTAAAATTTCACTTTTACTCAGTTTACATAAAATTCGCTCATTAGATTTTCTTATAAACTTGCACACAGCTTACTATAATTAAACATTACTATTTGAAACTTATTTGATCAAATTTTAACAGAGGGGTTTTTAGATAAACAATAATATAATTGTACTGTAATTATTAAATGTGTCACAAAATTCGTCAGCTCAACTTCCATTTTAAAGTTCTCATTATTTAAAATACGATAAAAGTTAAAATTCTGCCAAATATCACAAAGTTTTAATGAGCAGATTTTGAGAAATCGTCTTCTGTATACCATTGCTTTTTTCGCCGCCAGGTTTGTTTGTCTAATTTAAAACACACGCGGGCAAAACTGTTTTCAGCCACCTTAACTTGCTAGCGAGGTCTCTCTCAAAACGCAAACTACTGCAACGTAACTACTGCCCACGATTTTATCGCGCGACAACGGTTGGCATCGAGCTGCAACTCCCAAATCACGCGTGTAAACAGTGTAAACAGCGATTTCAGCGTTATTTGCCGGATTGTCAAATCCAAGTTGCCCCAAAGTGAGTGTAGTTTTAGTTTTGTTTAGTTCAGATTAGATTTTTTCATTTAGTGTAACTTCACAGCGACAATCGTATGCAAATGTCAGTTTTCTGTCCTCCATAATTTATTACAAGCAACTGATTAGTATTAGTTAATGTAAAGAGGACACGTGCTGTTGTCCAGTCATTTGCCTCATCACGCTACGTTGTTCACAAAATCGCAGACAGATCGTACTTAACTCTCTGATCCGCAAATACTGCTACCCATGTCGCGCAACAATTAATTCGCCCGTGTAAATGGCCCCTGGCAATCTAACAATTTACCATCGACTAAGCGTCAGGAGAGGAAAAATAGATGGTTTTCAGATTCTTGTGCTTGAGCTTCTGCTTAAACGTGTGTTGTAAAAGCGCCACATAAGCAAAGTTTTCATATCCCTCAGACAAAAGGCGTCGTGGCTTGTTTGAGGTAAATGGTAAAACGAAAAATAAATACCAAGGCTAGAGGCCACACGTGTAAATTATTGTGTTTTTTCTTCTTATCCCAGAATGAAACTGCTCTCATGACGTTGTTCTCGGAGTTTTTGCGCCAGATTAATCAAGTTTACAAGTCAAGGAGTCCCGAAGGTAAGAAATGTTTTAAGTGGAACGGATGTAGGCTTTTAAACCAAAATGGTTTGGACTGGTGTGTAAATTAAAAGCGAATGTAGATTAAGTTTTTCGTTTGACAAGAACAGTTCAGTGTCGTGAGAAAGATTTATTCGTCGTGTTTGTGTTATCGTTTATCACTTGTCTCTCGATAGCCACTTACTTATTGATCGCGGCGTTTCGATCGTGTACTGCTGTTCTTTATCTGGCGATGGTGTCAATTTACTGAGTGGGACTATTAGTACCACCGTGGTTAATAGTGATTGGCGTATCACAAACCTCTCATGGTTGGTGGGTTTGTTCCGGGAAAAACTGATGGTATAATGGTAACTATATTTTAACTTACTTTTTTATCAGGGCATTCCGTTTTTCAAGAGGAACTGCTAAAGTGCGGAGATACTGAACAAAAGGCTATTGCGAAGTAAGTTGAATTAAATTACCGAACCCTCCGTCTGAGCCTTCAACATGAAACAATTGAAATGGTCAATCCTTGGTACTCCTTCCTGAAGCTGACATGAAATTGGCCTGTCACTAAAATTGACTCGGAGGATTCAATACGTTAGCTCATAGCTCGTAGAGGAGACTGGTTATAAAAGGCGGCAAAGATCAAAGAGATCATTTTACGTTTCTGGAAAACTGCCTACCCACCCCTCCCCTAGGCCAACATTAACACTTACCTCTCACTTAGGGCAAAATGTTGGCTTAGTGGAGGGGTAGGTGGGCAGTTTCCCAGAAACATAAAATGATCCCTGCTGCTGCAGTTGCTGTTGGAAGCTCCCTGACGGTGCACAATCCTTTGCTTTCTGTTCAAAAATTGTGAATAAATTTATGCGACGTTTTTATTGGTCAAGAAGATCAAAATAAATGCTATCGAACGCTGTGCACCATCAGGTCCACCAAAACATATAACAAAGGAGTCTGATGGGTTTCAAAACCAATCCACTCTATTATCTAAGGTTAGCTGGATAGCGTAGATCGAAATTACTTTTACTCGTTTAGGCCTTAGGCTTGGCGTAAGTCATCAGAGTCTATCGACCCAGCTGGATGAAAACGTTTGGCTCCCAAAAGAGTCTGGCAAAAAGAGGGCCCGGAGAGGTTTAAAAGTAGAAATATTATTAGGAAGTACTTTCCTTTTAACGCAAAGGGTTCCCACAGCATGAAGAGGGGTATTTTGGGGTAATTACGCGGAAGGAAAGCCAAAAGTTTGCTTTTAGTGATTTTGTCCGATTCACCGCGATAATTTGTTTACCCATTTTTTTTGTCGTCTTCATACGTGGCCAAAGACAAACGCAAAGCCCCAATCCTGTTAGAAAGTACTTTTCAACATAACTGGAATATTTGTTAACGTGTTCATGGTTATGTCTTTAAAAAAGGAGAGCACAGGGCTTCTTTGATTTCTAGTCCCTGTGTCTCGTGTTTTACTCATTCTATTATCCTTATACTCCCCTTATTTTTTTCTATCCTTTCAGCATAATGGCGTTCCAAGGGTAACTTCACCGTTTTTCTCCTCAAGTCAGCTAAGTCATCCTCATGACGGATTAAATATAGGTTGTGCTTCCAGGGAAAATTGGTGAAGACAAGTTATATTTACTCTATTTCTATCATCGGACGCAGAACGTTTTGCTTTTAATAATTTATTTTTAAATGTAGCCCGCTTAACAGCTTTTCCTAACGATGAAGAAACTTTTAGATCTTGGTATTTTACTCTTGTGTTGAGGAGTTATCAAAAAGATGATGATATTGTGAAAGCGTGTTCTTGTACCTTTTTTCAATCAAACGCCACCAAGCAAATTGGTTAGCTATTGTTGCGGTGGTGTTCCTGGTCCGTCTATTTTATTGCGGGATAAAAAAGACTCATTAAAAGAGACTGATTCATCACTGGTGAGGAGGGAGAATTATATCATGAACATAACACCGTACCAGTTCACTGTGCGAGATTTTATCGTACTACCCGGATTTTGACCCTGCGAGCAGGGAGAAAAGGAGGCTCTGCCTGAATCACGTCAAACCTTCGAAGTCGCCGCAGCCCGAACTTTTGGACTAGTCAATCTTGTATTGTCTTGTCAAACTAGTTTTTTTCGAGTGCGAGCATCCGTCTGTTAATAAACCGATGGTCAAAACTGAGCCCACTGTACCAAGCACACGGCTTTAAGGCCTGGGTTCGAAACTGGAGCTTTATGCAGTGCATGCTCAACAAAGATCATGCTCGATACAGATGCAGTGATGCAGTTTTACTCACGGCGTTTTCATTTTTTCGCGAAGCAATTTGAAAACCAATTTTGGCCCCGCGGGATGGGAATTTTTAACATTTGAATTCTTTTTTAAAAAGTTCCATTGCCCAGGAGGTTGCTGGATGTGCATGGTACTTTTCGTTGGTAAATTTTATCAACAAATCTAAGCAACTGCCGAACAAAAGCGACCGGTAGGCTGCGCGGGAAGCAAAAGGGGCATGTTTAAATACTCCCGTTGTGGCTTTTGTTTCCACAGCTATTTAGTTTGAGTCCGGTAAAGGAATGAACTAAGTCTTAAACGCAAATACCTCTTTTAATGCTACTGTTCCTCAACAACAGATTGGAAGGTTCTATTACATTTTTTGACCCTTAAATACTGATTCAAGATCACATGTGATTGAACTAAACACTAGTCTGATTAATTCTAACAGGTTTGCCTTTGTATTGTAGTCAGTACGACTTTATGCTGTGCCATAGCACTTAAATTTTCCCAGAGTGTGGTAACCGTTCTCGTTATATCGCTTATCACTAGTATCACCAAACCTGAGTTGTTTTACTGGAAGCTTTGTCTTGTCAGTCAGGAAACCGCTGTCTTCACGCCAGACTTGGTCATTCGCATCACAGTTACAGCGTTTTCTTGCTGCGCATGAGTTGTTCATCCCGCATGCGCACTTACCACTTCCAGGAGACGCTCCACCCCAATATGTCATCTTAGAAGAATCACGCGACACCCACCATCCGTATGGACTGTTAAACCAGAGACCTGAGTGGTAGCACTCGTACTTGATGAACTGTTCACAGTGTGAAGAGACACTGGTGAGTCTGGCCAGCTGAGACAGACTCGCTCCTTTGTAATGAATGTCACGTTTGTAACTGCCTTTATCTTCATATCCTCTCACATTTGTCCTGCTCTCACTGTCGTGACTGATGACTGTCACGCCAACACCCTTATCTGTCATGTCACAGTACACTATGAATGGTGCCAGTCCTCCATCGCCATCTGGGTCAATCTTATAGTATTTGCTGACACTGCTAATGTATTTCTTGATCTCAGAACAGGATCTTCGGAATGGATATCGACAGTTAAATCCATTTCCAAGGTAACCAGTCCTACATTTGCATGAATAGGATCCACGTTCATTGGAACATTTGGCAAGGGGATGACAAGAGTGGGTCTTCCTTTCACATTCATTGAAATCTAATTAAAAGAAGATAAATCAGTAAATTCGAATCCAACGCACACATCGTGTATTTCTAAAAACGGTGTGGAGGGTGGAGGTATTCGATCGGGCCAAAGTTGACTCTATGTTTGCCTCTTCCACGCAGTTAGATACTTGAGAGCGGCGCGAACTACACCCCACACCCTGCACCTTACTCTTCCTTTCTCTTTGCGCCGTTCTCAGTGTTTGAACACCTTGAAGTACAAGCTAACTCTGTTTCCTTATAAGTAAATTAAGTTCAAAGTAAATGACAATATTAGTTCGGCACCTTTACAGTGTAAGTCCTACTCCTTTCTCGTGTGACATTGTTAGAGATGAAGTATAAGCTGTCTTAATATACCATAAGTGTACCATACAGGTCAAGATGCTTTTTTTCGGTGAGTTTTTAGCCAGAACTTTAGAAACGTTCTTACCATCAAACATAAGCAAAATCTGCGACTGGAAACAGTTACAACTGAAAACTCCGAACAAGACGAAAAAAACGCTATGCCATTATAAATTCTTCCTACCTTTCTGGCAGGTGTACTGATGACAGTCACTACAATTCACATCATTCCATTCATAGTTGTATTTCACACCAAGAGCATGCACGCAGTCCTCTTCATTAAAGTTATTTGGCTGATTCTTCGCCCAATTTGAAAAGTTCCCCTCACCGCGATCCGCCCAAGTAAAGTTGCCCTCTGTGGAGATGTCATTCAAGCCCAACCAGGATTTTTCTCCGTTATGAAGACGTTGAATGTAAACGTTTTCCTCATCGTTGGCCACATCAACAAGGACCGAGTTTCCCTGTCGACATTTGGTAACAGCTGTTGTCCAATTGACGCATTTTTCACTCGTCAAATAGCAGAATCCATTGAAATAGCTCCATCCAGGATCACAGATATCTGTGGAGATGTAAAGTTCATAAAATTACTTTGCAGCGTATGGTAGTACGCTAATACTTTGAGTTGTGTCCAACTTCCTGAGGACTTCATCCATCATAAGAATGGTCACATTTAGTTAAGCAGAGGTCACACCTGACGACTGCGGCTTTTAGCTAATGTCTGTGGGCTAACGCTCTCAGTTATACCCAGACTAACAAAGAAGCATATTCGATAGTCACAACGGTCACGTTTGGTTTAAAGCTTTTAAAACCAGAGGATGATTCATTACTAAGTACATAAGACATCTTTGCACTTAATGTATGTGCCGCTGCACGACGAAAACCGCTACAAATTCAATGATATCTTGCTGCACTGAATTGTTCATAGGTCACTTTTTCACTCTTGATCTACTGACCTGTAAATACCGCATAATTCACTGACACGGGATCATATCTGGTCTCGTACAACTCCTTCACACACACCCTGAACACGGATGCGTTCATGTTCTGCAAGTAAGAATTGGAGCAAGCTATGAAAACTCAATTCATTTCCTTGTGTTGATCTGGGGTACTTACCCTTTACATGGGAAACCGGACATGAGGATTGGAAGTCGAATAGTCTGGGCCATTCCGTTTGACCGGACTCTTCAGAAGACGTGGGCTGTGGTTTGAGGCGAAGCAATTTTTCTTCTCCTTTTACTCCGTTCATATATACTGTTTGGATATAATTTGTGGCGGGTTGTTCTTCCACCACGAGACATTTTATAGTTTTTTGTCTATGCACAAGATTTCCACCCGGTTGGTTTGTGTAAATGGTGAGCAACCCAGCTCGTTAACACATAGGTCACAAGCACATGTTCACAGGCATAAAAACAAACCTTTTCTTAATGAGGTAACACTAGATCAAGTCATTATCCTATCGAAGCAGACATGCATGTGAGACTGAGAGTCGCCTTTTCTTTCCCTTTTGCTCTATACACTATTTTTTGTTACCTCGATCCATGTTGTAATCCCGTTGTGAATTGGTGCGGAGTTTCCTGGAGCTGTGCTGCTGTGATTTGCTGTAAGTAACACCGAGGGTGTTGTCTTGTAAGTTCTTTCAAACTTCACAAACTGTCAATTAAAGCAAACTTGTTTACAGTTATAAGTAAGACCTTAGTTTAATGAATGGGTGTCGCCCAAATAGAGTAATCGAGTAGGCCATTTCCGAGTTCCAAAAAATCTCACTTTCAAAGGGAGGCTAAGTGCGAAGCCATTGATATGAAAATGACTTTTTAATTATGATGCAAATAAAACTCATTTTCACAACAAAGGTTTCGCACTTAGCCTCGTTTTGAAAGTGAGATTTTCTGGAACTCGGAAATGGCCTGTTCAGTTCGGTTGGTTTGATTCAAAGTTGCAATAGGCACGCAATACGTGCGAACGTAAACAAGCCAAGCGACGCAAATGTCTGCCGCGCGCTGTGTCACGACACAGCATTTATCTTCGTTACATACGACCCACAGATAACGTACGGCAAACAAATCGACAATAGAAAACAAACGTTTTGGAAAAACAAGGTACACTGAGTGAAACAAACTATTGAATAATTTAAATTTTCCGCGCACGGTGTGAATGGTTTGGCTTATTGCCAAGTGTTTGACAATGTTTTTGCTCTCAGTCGTGGAGCGCCGAAGATGATGTCACGCAAAATTCCATGTTCTCGTGCATGAGATAATTAAGGGTAACATTGAGTGATGCATAATTTCATTGCATATTTTCGGAAAGGACGTGATTTCTTAAAGTCCTATCGAGCAAAAAGACCTCGTAAAAAGTTGCATTCTTTCACGGTCGCACCGTAAAAGGGACAGACTCCAATATCTTGACGCGCAAACCGCGTTCTATTTTTAAAACCCTTGGGTAAATTAGATTAAGTCGTATTCTCTCATACACGAACCACGAGAGCGGCAAATTGCACAGCTTTCACATGAAACTACGTGACAGTACAACTTACACTAAGGGCCTGATCTCATGAGTGGGGGAAGCAATGCGCATTAACGGTGTTACCCGCTGTCCTGTTTCTCGCTGGTTCATTCGCCGGGCCGCCTGGCAAGCGTGATTACTTGGAAAATTTCCACCCGGGATCCTAGCTAACTGGGCTAGCTCGGTTGTCATATAATCGCAAAGTTGATTTTTGTTGCGTTTAACTAAGGTGCCGGGATCTCTGCAAAAGGAGGCAGCCCAGCTCATGTAATCAGGCCCTTCGTTCTATAGCCAGATTATAGCCCCCGAGCACACATAAAAACTCTCAGCCCCCACCCCCCTCAACATCTTCGTACCCTCTTCTCTATATTAAATGAACTTTTGGCCTTATCCATGTTCTCTCCGTACAAATATTATCAAAAATAAGCGAAAAACAATCCTAAATAGAAAGCCTAACAACATTTAAAATAAATACAAGTATGGTTTCGACTATTGATAAGACTTGACAACCACCACTTCATTTCAACACACTCTAACTACACTATCCCTTCATAGCCACATTAGCAATTCCTTAACCACCTCACTGCAACACAAAATCACTTTTGCCTCCCAAAGTAATTATTTTTTATTACTTCATATTAAGTTCTACGAGAAACAA